GTTATGTTTCGAAATTATTTTAAGGGATATTCAGTGGGAATAATTGTAGATCCGGATGTAGTTTTTGAGCTAAATATTTATATTTTATAGTACTGTTTGTTTAACGTTACAGGTCACCAAAATGACCGTTAAAATAATACAATAGACTACTCACAATGCCTCACTGACCTTTATATATAAATAGTCGAACAAAAACACACCGTATATGGCCTGACTATTGCGTTTATCATGAAATCGACTGTTCCCTCTGGGCGCTGAATTCATTGTCCCCTATATATATATATATATATATATATATATATATATATATATATATATATGTCGTATTCGACATTCGACGTTCGAGGTCAAACAGCTCAGTTCCTATGAACTGACAGTCAGAAACCAGCACATATATTTTTGCAGAACCGACCACACTTTTTGAATCGCTGAATAGAGAGACATGGCGCACTACGTGCCACAAGGTCCCCAAATGACTCTCTAAAGGTTTTGAAACCCAGAGTTGTCCTTCTCCTAGACCAGTTGCCATCCAAGGCTATAGAACCCAGTCTGTCCTGCTATTTACCCACAGCTGGAAGGAGAAGAAGAGGATTCACACCTTTCCCAAGTGTATTAGCACGTGAGTGAATGTAATGGATTCGACCGAATTCGAACTCAGCTCTCCTGTTCTTCAATCCTAGCCGCTATCCACTGCAACACACACACACACACACACACACATATATATATATATATATATATATATATATATATATATATATATATTATTCTATACAAAGCCTTCACTACTATAATCTAATCATATTGGTCTATGTCTATAATCTGTTGGTTCCTCGGAACTGAACTGAATTTGACCCTCATACGACGAATACGACGGAGAGTCCATCATATATATATATATATATATATATATATATATACATACGAGCAGAATGACCCGGCGTTCAAAAATCGTACGGCTCTTACAGCAATCGCTATAAATTGACTTCAAATATTTTTGCCCTTCCTTGCCTTTAAAAGAGTGCCCTTTGCCGTGCTGATGTTGCTGCATGCCTTACTTCTTGCCTATCTCACACTGAATTTTTTTCTAAGCTCTATACTAAACATTAAATCTGTTACGAAAAAAGAACTAAACAAAATGAACACAAAACGATCAGCTTTAAAAAAGGACTCGTAACTGGAAAATCCGAATGAAAAAAGAATGTTAACATCAAATACTTTTTCACACCCAACCCAGTTCTGCGGACTCACAATCAACGTTGAGTTTAAGCAAGCGAATGAGCCAATTGGAGTAGTGCCATGCCGATTTAAATTTTTACCACTTTTGACTAATGCAGCTATCGATTTTTTTTTTATGCTTGCATGCTAGTTAACATTCGTGTCAGTCAGCTGTTGGCTCTCACGCTGGCCAATTAAATCTTTCTGCCTATTCGAGGCAGCCAGCTATTAGCTATCAATCTGGCTAGTAGAAAATGGCCGCAAAATACATGAAAACTCCCGTAAAAGCATGAAAAAATCGATTATTTCCACTATCGATGGGAGTTGGGAAATGCAATGTCAGTCTTGGCCTTCTACTAACTTGGAGCATGTGCATGTAAATTTTGGTGCAAATCCGTCGAAAATTGCGGCCGTGCATTTGTTACACACACACACACACACACACACACACACACACATCCTGCCTTTTATAGATAGAGATAAACGATATTCAGTCCCCCCCCACACACACACGAGGGTGTCATGTGGCACAAGGCGTTTTTAACGTGGGCATTCCGAGTCCGTGGGCTCGGCCAAAAATATGCCCATTGAACCCGTATAAACGGGTTCAGGGCCGGTTTTACCTCCCGAAAGAGACTCCGCCCTTCGGCGGAGCCTCCTTCGGGTTCCTCCCGTCCGTAGGAAGAGAGTTCAACCGGACAGTCGGTTCACAAGTGAACGACTGACTGATAGATAGAGATAGACACACACGTAAGGTGTGAAAGCAAGTGCGATATCTCATCAGCCACTAAGCAGGAGATTTAACACAGTTTCGATGTCTAAGGCGGTACTGCCCCACCAGCAGCTTTTGCCACCGGAGATTTTATTGCTTTGGTATACGTGTCCGCCTGTTGCGATTAAATTTTACGACTGCAAATGAAATTATTAACGTTGTGTTAAAATACACAACGCGATCTTAGCGAACGTTATTAATGATATGAAATGGAAGGTAAACAGAAGTGTTTCACGTCGGAAGTAGCATTGAGTTAAAAGCATGATTTTATTTAATGTTATTTATTTTCGATCTTAATTGGAAAGAAGTTCAACACAAACACTGGATGGACAATATCAAACAATGGCCAGGAATGACTAAACCAAAATTACTGATGGCTGCCGTTGATAAACCTGCGTGGAGGAGATTCAGCGTGGCATTTGCATTTGGATGCCCCTGACAATTACAAAAGTAAAAGGGATGATGATGATTTTGGATCTTGACCAGATCCATCTCGATGCCTGTTGAGCTGTGGTCTGGAGTCGATGTGAAGGACATTTCAGGTCCCGGCCATTGATGTCCTCCAACAAAAGGAAAGGAGCGATTGACTGTCCGGGGAATCCACGTCATCCGACCTCAATAGGTAGCAGATGACATGTCCACGCAGTCGGATCGGAACGATTCGTAGCGGCGATTTATCCCACGTGAAACTCCTCATTGTCTTCACCCCCAAGCGGCCGTTCTTTGAATCAGACCCGGCTACAATGCCAGGACACACACACACACATATATATATATATATATATATATATATTATCATCCACAGACAGATTGTTTCAATGTTTCACAGCTTATCAGTGTGACTAGTCATCCGATTGCCTCAAGTCAGGATCGAAACCCGACCGATCCGTCTTAACGAAAAGTCTTGCATATAATCCCATTTTTCCTTTCATTTCGTTGTTGGAAGTGTTACCTGATGATCCGGAGTCCTTTAAAAAGGATTTTGGTGAAATAAATTATTGTAATGGTACCTTAAAGTGGTCTGTTTTTTTTTTCATTAAATTTATATATTATATATATATATATATATATATATATATATATATATATATATATATATATATATATATATATATGAAAAAGCTCACAGTTAACCTGTAGAAAAAAGACAATATTTATGAATATAAATGACAATAGGAATACTAATATTTGCCGACGCGTTTCGTCCATTTGAACGAAGCACGTCAGCAACTATTACAGTTTTCCTATTGTCATTTATATATATATATATATATATACAGATGCATACACACACACGCACGCACACACACACACACACATATATACATATATATATATACACTCAATCAAACACATATAAATATATGTACATACACGCAGACAACCCGTATATATATATATATATATATACACATACAGACATCTTTATATATATTTTTATATATACATACATAAACACACACATGAATGTGTATATATATATATATATATATATATATATATATATATATTTCTAGATTTTGAATCAATTGTTTTACTTCTAGTACATCTTGTAATATTCGTTTATGTTGGGTATTGCTTTTTTTGTGCTTTCTGTTCGCCATTTTTTTTTTGGAATCATATACTTCACCATTATTTGCCATTTTTATCATCTTTTACGCATATATTAATTCTTGCATTATGTTATGAATTCGGCCTTCATTAATTTTAAGGGAAGAGAAGTGCAGATTAATAGGATAGGGAGGATATATATTGCCCATATTGAAATCATTAATTTAAAACATTTGCACAGATCGTCATATGATTTAATTAAACGAACTAAAAATATTACATTGATTCAATTTCTAAGTCTCCAACTAAGAAAGTTAATTCAATATGTCGTACTTCCTCACAGGAGACTATCTTACATATTGATAAGTATACCTTTCGTCTTGCATTGAATATTGCCCCAAATCTGGTCTGCTGCATTGATATATATTTACAGATTTTTCCTATAATGCAAAGAAGAATCTATAATGTTACTTGTCCAGACCTGGCATCTTGGATTCTGACCCTTTCCATGTCGTATTATAGCTCGCCTATGATTTTTCTATAATTATTTTCATGGTAATTGCTTTGTTGAGCTTTCTTTTACGTTACCTAGATTTAAATTTAAGCGAAGTAAAAGATGATCGGGAAGTTTTCATCATTTTACAGTTGAATTGTCTAGATGCAGCAGTATGTTATATGCTAAAAGTCTCTTCTGTCATCTTTACTCTTGTGGAACTCTCTTCCGGCTGCACGCTTTTCACCCAACTTTGATCTTCAAATATTTCAACACAATGCTAATCATTATCTACTGTCTTCTTGATTCCTCTTTTCTCATCTTTCTCGCTCCTTAATGGCGTTATCATTTTTCTTTCACACTCTGTAACCCTTTTGCACTCTTGCATGGGATGAAAGGATTAAAAACTTATTACCCAGTTTGTTTAAATGAAAGGCAGAATATAGACTGGGAAGGATAGAAAGAGGACAAACACCGCTTACAGCGAGAAATTGTAAGAAGTTATGTAAAACCATGATGGCTCACGTCCGGAAGGGACTCAGCACATAAAGAATACGACTTTCCCATTAATGACCTCCTCATCACTTTCAAGTCTTCTTCGGGGTTCTTTTATAAAGTTGGTTACTTTTTTTTTCCTTTTTTGGCATAATTCTTCAGCCTCATTTTTCGTTATC